CACCGGTGCTCTGGCACAGTGTCAGCCTAGCTACCGGTGTCTGGTTCAGTGTCAGCCTAGCTACCGGTGTTCTGGCTCAGTGTCAGCCTAGCGACCGGTGCTCTGGCACAGTGTCAGCCTAGCCACCGGTGTCTGGCTCAGTGTCAGCCTAGCTACCGGTGTTCTGGCACAGTGTCAGCCTAGCTACCGGTGTTCTGGCTCAGTGTCAGCCTAGCTACCGGTTTCTGGCACAGTGTCAGCCTAGCTACCGGTGTCTGGCTCAGTGTCAGCCTAGCTACCGGTGTCTGGCACAGTGTCAGCCTAGCTACCGGTGTCTGGCACAGTGTCAGCCTAGCTACCGGTGTTCTGGCACAGTGTCAGCCTAGCCACCGGTGCTCTGGCACAGTGTCAGCCTAGCTACCGGTGTCTGGTTCAGTGTCAGCCTAGCCACCGGTGTCTGGCTCAGTGTCACCCTAGCTACCGGTGTCTGGCTCAGTGTCAGCCTAGCTACCGGTGTCTGGCTCAGTGTCAGCCTAGCTACCGGTGTTCTGGCACAGTGTCAGCCAAGCCACCGGTGTTCTGGCACAGTGTCAGCCTAGCCACCGGTGTCTGGCTCAGTGTCAGCCTAGCTACCGGTGTCTGGCTCAGTGTCAGCCTAGCTACCGGTGTTCTGGCACAGTGTCAGCCTAGCTACCGGTGTTCTGGCACAGTGTCAGCCTAGCCACCGGTGTTCTGGCACAGTGTCAGCCTAGCTACCGGTGTTCTGGTTCAGTGTCAGCCTAGCTACCGGTGTCTGGCACAGTGTCAGCCTAGCTACCGGTGTCTGGCACAGTGTCAGCCTAGCTACCGGTGTCTGGCTCAGTGTCAGCCTAGCTACCGGTGTTCTGGCTCAGTGTCAGCCTAGCTACCGGTGTCTGGCACAGTGTCAGCCTAGCTACCGGTGTCTGGCACAGTGTCAGCCTAGCTACCGGTGTCTGGCACAGTGTGAGCCTAGCTACCGGTGTTCTGGCTCAGTGTCAGCCTAGCTACCGGTGTCTGGCTCAGTGTCAGCCTAGCTACCGGTGTCTGGCTCAGTGTCAGCCTAGCTACCGGTGTCTGGCTCAGTGTCAACCTAGCTACCGGTGTCTGGCTCCGTGTCAGCCTAGCTACCGGTGTCTGGCTCCGTGTCAGCCTAGCTACCGGTGTCTGACACAGTGTCAGCCTAGCTACCGGGGTTCTGGCACAGTGTCAGCCTAGCTACCGGTGTTCTGGCACAGTGTCAGCCTAGCTACCGGTGTCTGGCTCAGTGTCAGCCTAGCTACCGGTGTCTGGCACAGTGTCAGCCTAGCTACCGGTGTTCTGGCACAGTGTCAGCCTAGCTACCGGTGTCTGGCTCAGTGTCAGCCTAGCTACCGGTGTCTGGCTCCGTGTCAGCCTAGCTACCGGTGTCTGACACAGTGTCAGCCTAGCTACCAGGGTTCTGGCACAGTGTCAGCCTAGCTACCGGTGTTCTGGCTCCGTGTCAGCCTAGCAACCGGTGTCTGACACAGTGTCAGCCTAGCTACCGGGGTTCTGGCACAGTGTCAGCCTAGCTACCGGTGTCTGACACAGTGTCAGCCTAGCTACCGGTGTTCTGACACAGTGTCAGCCTAGCTACCGGTGTCTGGCACAGTGTCAGCCTAGCTACCGGTGTTCTGACACAGTGTCAGCCTAGCTACCGGTGTCTGGCTCAGTGTCAGCCTAGCTACCGGTGTCTGGCACAGTGTCAGCCTAGCTACCGGTGTTCTGACACAGTGTCAGCCTAGCTACCGGTGTTCTGGCACAGTGTCAGCCTAGCTACCGGAACCATACATGGTTGTACTTACTGCGGGTGTACGCAGGATAATTTCTTAATGTATTTAGCGCGCTGGTAAAATTATGTACGTTTATGATTATATGTATATTATATATTCTAAATGAGATAATTGCATGCAATTAAAGACATACGCGAATTATTTTTAAATAAATATATACAGTATTCCATTTCGTGTATAGTCGGTCTTCAGGTGAATTTTGTTTTCATCTTTATTGATAAACATAACTAATTACATAGGCTGTAGGATACATGCTTTATTGTTAAACAACATAGGCTGTAGGATACATGCTTTATTGTTAAACAACATAGGCTGTAGGATACTTGCTTTATTGTTAAACAACATAGGCTGTAGGATACATGCTTTATTGTTAAACAACATAGGCTTTAGGATACATGCTTTATTGTTAAACAACATAGGCTGTAGGATACATGCTTTATTGTTAAACAACATAGGCTGTAGGATACATGCTTTATTGTTAAACAACATAGGCTGTAGGATACTTGCTTTATTGTTAAACACACGTATATATCGCCATAAATAATTTCGCATTATAAAAAATATGGATATTTTAAGATACGTATGAATTAAATAATAGTGTTGTTATAGAATGCCAATGTAATATGCACATTTCAGGACATCTTCAAGTGGAACTTAAAAGCCAGATTAATACTGCAATTGGCCTATTAGCCCATGTGAAGCCTTTTTTTACACCAAATTGTTGTAAATTAGCATAAGCCCAACCAATTATATAAACTCGGTAGATTAGTTTACTGATGCTGCTTGACGTTTTTTTTTCACAGCTGAGGCTAATATGTTTGTAGTTAAGGGAAAAGCTCGAGAAATAAGCATTAGACATGCCGAAAATTAACTTTAGGCTTTATTGCCATTGTACTGCGTTTATAAAAAGAACAACAGCGTGTCTGTAGAACAAGTTAAGCTTCCTTCAGGTGCTGGAAACAAACGATCTCTTGCCCCGATGAAGGGGAGTTTGATTGAAGCTTTCCACTGATGCTGTGGATGAGGTTGGTTATAAGTACGGGCTGACCTGCTTGATGGGGTTCTGGGAGTTCTTCTACTCCCCCTCCCCATTGATACAGGGGGCCAATAGGTCTTCTGCAGTTCCAGTATTCTCGCATTATCGTGTCGTGAAGCAGCTCCCAGCAGACAGATGGACCAAGAAGTGACGGACCGTCTGTATTTCGCTCTGTAAATACCGGCAACATTTGGCTACTGCTTTCTAGCTTCAGTAACATGAAAGTTGACGTCGGCTCTGACACAGTGCTGTGCAATTAAGTTTGTAAAAAAGAATTGCACCATTGCCATACTATATTTTGCATGAGTCGTGTAAGATGTCTGCGTGCCCACTTGGGGCAGGGTTCTCGAACCATCTTTACTTCATAAATTGTATCAACATTATGCTTTCTAAAAATATTTGACCTTTAAATTGAATTTCAAGCGTTGTGTATTGATGGGACTGTGAAGGCGATGTGTAGGTGCTAAGCTATGCAGGAAACTCTGAGCGCCACAATGCAGTTCGAAGAAGTTCTACATAGGCTACTCAGCATGTAAATATAACTCTGTTCTAATATGTTTATCATTTTGATTGCTGGCAACACATTACGTTGATACATAGCGTAGTGATACAAGAGTGTAGGGAGGGTGGGTAGTGGTGGGCCCTGGCCAGCGAGAGTGGACAGTGGTGGGCCCCTGGCTAGCGAGGGTGGGCAGTGGTGGGCCCTGGCTAGCGAGGGTGGGTGAGGGAGGCGGGCTCCACATCCCATCAAACGTTTCATTGTTGGCCTCGGACAGATAGGCTCTGCTACGTCATAGTGTGCGTGCGTTGTGATGCCCGCACAGGCAAACGGCGTACATACCATGTGTACCGGCTGCCACAGGGGCGTGTGTATGTTGAGCCACGGTGTACACGTGTGACTGTACATGTACGTGGTGGTGGTGGGGGAGGACCCCGTGCGTTTATTTATTTTGCAGCAGTCAATGCTCGCCTTCACTCGGTCCCGCAGCCCCCAACCCATGTCTGCCATCCTCTTCCTTCCCCGCCCGCCGTTATATACCCATCATCATTTTACTCAGACAGAATACCTTGATATTTAACGTTGATATAACGGTGGAATAAATTAAACTGACTTACAGAATAATGAAACAATTCATAGTGGCAGTTTGGCTGGCCAAGACATAATTCCTCTTACAAAGACTTGTGTTAGCAGCCGTGGGCAGGACTGTGGCAGGGATTCCAACCCGGCATCTGTTGCTGTGAGGAATGGTGGCGAATTTCACCCTTCTATCTGAAAACAATTACTCGCACATACCTTTATGCCAGCCAGGATGTGTATCCAGGGGCGGGCCAACCCACCAGGAGTTACCACGTGTGCTGCCGCAGCTGGAGACCTTAAAGACCTCTTGCCTTTGTTAGGGCACTTGCTCTGGGCTGTGATCTTCACGTTATTCACACACTAACTCTAATTCACAAGATAAATGTGCAGTTGAACATGATAATAGATGTCCTTTTGATGTTGTATGTGTGTTAGGCTGCTGTTTCACTACTCGTCGCGGCATTTATATGGGATGAATTGTGTTGGTAATATCGTATTTGTGTGTGTAACTTTGTTGTGGTTTTTCAATTGTTTTGATTAGAAATAAGACGAAAAATTATATTTCATATTTGTTGCGCTCTATAATTATATATATGTATATATATATATAGTTAAACTATCTAGGCGCAAGAGAGGAGGCGGCATGTTAAATATCGAGCATAGTTACATCCCCGCTCCTGCGCCTGGTAAGTCCACTACGGGCTCACCATAGCCCGTGCTACTCGGAACGTTTTGTTCCCAGTAGCTGAATCTAAAACAACAACTTATTGAACATCCTGTACTCACGCCAGCACTCGAACGCTGTTGTTGAGTGGTGTTGACAAAGCCTGTGACGTTGAGTGCAAAATAGAAGCGGAGGTGACAGAAACGATGAGGAGAGGAAGGGAGGGAGGGGTAGGGGACGAGATGAATGGAGGTTCAGAGGGAGAGAAGCGTAGTGGATGACTTAGGTAGGCAGGCTGGACAGGTGACGAGGGTCTCCTGATAGCGAGAGACTCCTCTTGTTTATGGCTGCCGGTGGAGGTGTTGGGTGGAAGACATAGACGCCTCCTGCTCCGCTGTCAGGAGGCAGGGGATGTCTTCCTCCCCGGAGGTGGCATCTGTGCCGTCATCCCCGGAGGTGGCATCTGTGCCGTCCTCCCCGGAGGTGGCATCTGTGCCGTCATTCCCGGAGGTGGCATCTGTGCCGTCATTCCCGGAGGTGGCATCTGTGCCGTCCTCCCCGGAGGTGGCATCTGTGCCGCCCTCCCCGGAGGTGGCATCTGTGCCGTCATCCTCGGAGGTGGCATCTGTGCCGTCATCCTCGGAGGTGGCATCTGTGCCGTCATCCTCGGAGGTGGCATCTGTGCCGCCCTCCCCGGAGGTGGCATCTGTGCCGCCCTCCCCGGAGGTGGCATCTGTGCCGCCCTCCCCGGAGGTGGCATCTGTGCCGCCCTCCCCGGAGGTGGCATCTGTGCCGCCCTCCCCGGAGGTGGCATCTGTGCCGCCCTCCCCGGAGGTGGCATCTGTGCCGCCCTCCCCGGAGGTGGCATCTGTGCCGCCCTCCCCGGAGGTGGCATCTGTGCCGCCCTCCCCGGAGGTGGCATCTGTGCCGCCCTCCCCGGAGGTGGCATCTGTGCCGCCCTCCCCGGAGGTGGCATCTGTGCCGCCCTCCCCGGAAGTGGCATCTGTGCCGCCCTCCCCGGAGGTGGCATCTGTGCCGCCCTCCCCGGAGGTGGCATCTGTGCCGCCCTCCCTGCCTCTCCCTCCTAGCCTGTTTACACCGGGTTGTTGTTAATGGCTAATTTGACTTCCGTTGCATCGTTAGTATGCCCAGCTCAAGTAAATTTATTATGATCATAACCATGCGAGTGAAATTAAAATTGTCTCAATACGTCCAAGTATAAAAAGAAATTGTTAATGATCAATTATATATATTAGTAAACTGGCCATGCGAATGCTTCTAAAATTTCGCTAAATGTTTCATACAAATTTGTTGCCAAATATATAAAGAGCCTAATGTGTTGAAAACGAATGTTACAGGAAACTTTCATTTGAGTATCTTATGATGGTGTCTTATTGGCCATAGCTGTACTCGCTGCCTCGTTTACGAGCAAGTAAATAATGCACGAAATTATGGTTACGAGATCGTAAAGATTATTGCAAATATAAGTAGACTATTAATTTGACTCAGGGATGGCAGTAACGTCTAAAATTAATATGCAGACGAAACACACACACACACACACACACACACACACACACATACACACACACATATGACTTTCAGAATAAACTTGTGTAAAGATATATGAAATATCATATGCCATAGGCTAGCCTATTCAGAAGTAAACATTTACGCAAGCTTTCTGAAATTATTATCGACATTAGCGTGTATCTGGAGTTAGTGGAGGAAAAGTACTACATAGTATAATAAATACTGGTGTAAGTAGCGCTGATGAGGATGCTAATTCCAGAAGATGAGGAGGAGGAGAGAAGCCTAGCGGGTCAGTGACAGGCTCTGGCTAGCGTCCCCCCGCCACCGCTAATCTTATAAAGCTGATCTGGAAGTGCTCAAGCCCTGCCGGGGGTAATTGGCCTCCTTGTTAACAACCTTTCCGTCATCTGCAGCGACTCATACTATGCTCAGGGGGTAGTTCACCTACCTGTCTTGGCCCTCTTGGTAGGCACTGGGCCCTCATACAATTGAATTGTAGGTTATTTGGTTGTCTTGTTCCTTGTGGTTGTGTTGTAGATCAGGTTTGAAGTATGCGAGAAATGTTGTTGTTGTTTAAGATTCGCTGCTTGGAACAAAACGTTCCAGGTAGCACGGGCTATGGTGAGCCCGTTGTGGACTTACCTGGCACAGGAGCGGGGCTGTAACTTTATGCGATAAATGATGTGTGATATTTAAATAAGCCTCTCCTCTCTTGTGACGTCACGCAGTCACGTGCTCTTTGTTTACATAGTTTTGAGTCAACGTTCTTGAGTGAACACGTTAGTGGTACAGGCGATGAGTCACACGTTAGTGGTACAGGCGATGAGTCACACGTTAGTGGTACAGGCGATGAGTCACAATAACGTGGCTGTAGTAGTTTGACCACACCACACACTAGAAGGTGAAGGGACAACGACGTTTCGGTCCATCCTGGACCATCGACTTGAGAATGGTCCAGGACGGACCGAAACGTATGGGGTGCAGAATAAAATAGCCGCTTTCGGCGGCAACAATCAAAAAATCATCGTCGTCCCTTCACCTTCTAGTGTGTGGTCTGGTCAAACGTTAGTGGTAGGCGGTGTGTGGGTGACAGGTGGGGTGGGTGTCAACCTCAACCAACCTCTGGAGGGTTACTTTGCCGACCAAAATAGCTTCCTGGTAAACCAGGAAAGTAACCTTTAGTCCTGAAAGTATTCCAGAACAAATTAAGTGCATATACACCAAGGTAATGAGATGAAAGTTCACATAATTTCAAACAGAACCTAAACACCCAGTCTAACCTAATTTAAATTTCAGATATAAAAAAAGTAAAATATACAATTATATTTGGGAAAATACCGAGTATAAACACTACGTTAGAGTTGACGAATGCGCGAGGAGGATAGAAATAGCCTAAGCTACTCTGTCCCTTTGAGATGTATTTTATTGTCTCAATAAACGTACTTGAGCTTGACGAGTGCGTCTATGGTGCTGGCCGGAGCTTGGACGACCCTGGCCTGAGGACGGGGATGTGTAGCCATGTTTCCGTCTGGTGGGGCGAGGGAGGGGCGATTATCAGGGGAAAGCGCCAATCCATTACGACTATAAAGCACTTGGAACGGGTCAGGATAAGGATTTGCGATGGGACGGGGGAAGAAAGGAATGGTGCCCAACCACTTAGACGGTCGGGGATTGAACCCCGACCTGCATGACGCGAGACCGTCGCTCTACCGTCCAGTTAGAAGTGGTTGGGCATGCTCGCCGCATGAAGAAGCTGAAGGGTTCCGACATCTCCAGGACTCTTAATATCCCGCGTACATAACTTTTGAATGATTAGCAATTGACGCTGGAGATTGATAGTGTTGATGCTAATTATATCACACTGCAGCAGTTGTTGAGGTGGTCACTATCATAGTGACGGTGACCACGAGCCTTAACGTAACAACAACAATAAGGTTAACTGCGCATGCCGATTACCAATAATTTAAGCACCGAAATGTTGATGTTTTGACTGCTGGGATTTGTACCTTTCTGGCGGGTCAAAAACAGGTCTCACAATATGTCAAGAAAATGCAACTGTTTTGACATGAAACGTACTAACCCAAACAACCCACCTAACCAATCGAGGCCCAGGCATGGAAAACGTCAGTATTACGGTGCTTTAATTTTGACTGATACGTCGCATTTTTTTTAATGAATTGGTCGATTCCGTTAAAAATGCAACGTGCCGAGAGAGGTCTGCAGGGCTGGCGTACCCGCGCATAATTTTATATCGCATAAATTATCTTTCGTGTTTACACTGGAGAAACCTTGCGGGTACACGTGGCCTGTGTGCCCAGAAATGTCCTGTCAGCAGACAAGTAAACAATGCAGGACCCGGATTCACGAAGCAGTTACGCAAATACTTACGAACGTGTACATCTTTCCTCAATCTTTGACGGCTTGGGTTACATTTATTAAACAGTTTACAAGCATGAATACTTCCCATTCAACTTGTTATTCTTATATAACAGCCTCCTGGTGCTCCGCAGCTCATTAACTGTTTAATAATTGTAAACAAAGCCGCCAAAGATTGAGAAAAGATGTACAGGTTCGTAAGTGCTTGCGTAACTGCTTCGTGAATCTGGCCCCCTGGTGGTGGGGAGTCAGCCCAGAATGAAGCGAGGGCATGTAAACAAACATTCGGTGTAATGTCAAATGTGAGACCAACGACGGCTTGATTGAACACGGGATTACATGATACATTATACCTAAAGCATATATACTAACCAACGTATCTTACCCTGGTGACCATAACTGAGCTTAATCTAACTCGCTCAGAACGTCTAGAAATGCATACTTCTGGACCGAGGTGGAATTGGGTCGGCTAGTAGCGCAAAGCCTAGCCGCGCCGGCTAGGGGCGCAAAGCCTAGCCACGCCGATCGGGGCTCGAACTAGCTGGAAACGGGATTTATTTTACGGGCTATTCATGCCCGTACCACCTTTTAGTTGGCTTAATCTTTATCAATCAATCAATCGGGATTTGGGTTGTTGTGTGCGAGTCTAAGGTAGAAATCTCGTCTCGTGGGTGAGGCAAATGAAAAGGGAACACAATGACGCATTTCGTATTATCACTGGAGGCGGCTAGTTGATTGTGCTCCCCATACTCATGCTGTGAGCGGAAGCGCAAAAAGGTTTACAGAAGGCACAACATGTTTTACTGAAACTTCGACGGGGATTTTGACATTGACAGTTACATTTAGCCTGCACACACACACGTCTCTAAGCTAGACATTTTGTTTATTACAATATCTTTTTGCAATGTATCTTTTTATATCTATAAAAGTATATTTTTATTTACAATTAATTATTATATATTAATAGGTGTTTTGCTAATACATAAACTATTTTAGATATGGGGTGTTACAGGCTTATAGAAAGGCAGTTAGTTATTATTATTAGTCTTTACACCACACTGCTTGTTCCTTGGTCTCATATATGTCATTATCTACTGGAAGCGAAGTATGGATACTGTGCAACGATTTCAGATATTTTGCCATTTCGTGCAGCGCCTCGTAGGGGCCTCGTAGCCTGGTGGATAGCGCGCAGGACTCGTAATTCTGTGGCGCGGGTTCGATTCCCGCACGAGGCAGAAACAAATGGGCAAAGTTTCTTTCACCCTGAATGCCCCTGTTACCTAGCAGTAAATAGGTACCTGGGAGTTAGTCAGCTGTCACGGGCTGCTTCCTGGGGGTGGAGGCCTGGTCGAGGACCGGGCCGCGGGGACACTAAAGCCCCGAAATCATCTCAAGATAATCAAGCGCGAGCTTAGATTTATCTCTAAATGGCTTAGTATTGTCACGATCATCTACCCTTTCTACCCTTAAATGTGTAGATGTCTACCCTTTGGTTACATTTATTAAACAGTTTACACGCATGAAAACTTTCCAATCAACTGTTGGTATTGTTATAAACAACCTCCTGGTGCTTCGGAGACCATTAACAATGCCATTAACATTGTAAATAAAGCCGTCAAAGATGAGAAAAGATGTACAGGGGCCAGATTCACGAAGCAGTTACGCAAGCACTTACGAACCTGTACATCTTTTCTCAATCTTTGGCGGCTTTGTTTACAATTGTTAAACAGTTAATGAACTCCAAAGAACTAGGAGGCTGTTTATAAAAATTGCAACAGTTGATTTGGGAGGTTTTCATGCATGTAAACTGTTTAATAAATGTGACCAAAGCCGTCAAAGATTGAGGAAAGATGCACACGTTCGTAAATACTTGCGTAACTGCTTCGTGAATCTGGCCCCAGGTTCGTAAGTACTTGCGTAACTGCTTCGTGAATCTGGCCCCAGATGTTTGTATAAGCCGAGCAGCCTGAGGCACTTGTCACCAAGTGGTGTTCGAGCTGTGACAACGTCTGTTAGTGTGCTATTGTGTTACTTGCTCCCATACACATGTTTTGCTTGACACTTCAGTGTGATAAACAGTGGATCTGCTAGTTCGTGTTTGCTCAACTTTCTTCAAATTCATTTAAGAATTATCGTCTAATGACAATTTTAAGGGAATCTGTTTGAGTTTACGTTTATCATTGTCTTTATATACTGCAATCTTA